GGGCTTTGCAAAATGCTAATTGCCCAAGCGATCTTCGTTTTCTCATCCCCACCCTTTTTTCTTTTAAAGGAGGAAAGGTTTTACTCAAAGCAAGTGTTGCTGTTAAATACCGGAAGCAGGAAATCCACCCTGATCAAACCAAGGACCTGCGTAGAGCAACACTTTCTCACAGCAGCCAAGGAGAAAGTTATTATTAAATGTATATACTTATGGAAGGAAACCGATAGTATGATACGAAAGCAAACCCCACTCCCTTCCAGCACTGATGATGGTACTTAGTGTGGTAAGGAAACGTCTGCAAGAAAATAACCAAGCACAGAGAGCACCAAGGACTCCATAGACCTCTTCCTCCTCCCCTTCTCCTTCCTCCACTTCATAAACCCCACTCTCTTTTAGCACTGATGATGTTACCTAGTGTGGTAATGAAACGTCTGCAAGAAAAGAACCAAGCTCAGAGAGCACCAAGGACTCCATATGACATGATCACACTACCCAGGTTTGTAGAAGTATGAGGGAGCTTATTAAAGGACTGTGGGTCCTCCCCCCCACCCCAAAATCACCAAATGAAACTATGTGCAAAGAAAGCATCTTTCCATCCCCAATTGAACAATACAGCTCTCTGGATATTTGGAGACAAACCAAGCAACAGCATTTATCCAGGAGTGTCTCTCGATTTGAACTTAATGGGCCTGGACTCCTTACTTAATTGAACCCTTAGACCTCAATGTGTAAAACACTCACCTGCTCTTGAAAGCATGTCCCATTCAACCCACACGGTAGAACTAATATGTGTGTAAACACCCATACAATTTCCCCGTTTCTTCTTTCAGGCGGGGAAGGGAGACAGAGTTGAACCAAAAAAAATTGAAAACTAATGTTTCCTTTTATCACCTCGGTTCATAATGCCTAATTAAATACATATTTAGATCCTTCAGTTCAGATGCCTAACCATTTTTTTTTACACTCTTCAAAATGTCCCTTCTCGGTTGCTAATTGGAAGGTGAGAAGAGCAGTGGGTCGTTTTTAATGCTCTCTTCCCACATCAAACCACTATTAAGATTCATTTAAGCATTTCTAGAGTCATCTCTTAGCGATTAAGAGCCTGCAACGTACCAAAATTAAACAAGAGCAAAGTGGATATTTTAGCATTAAAAGTGATGGGTGCTAAATTCTTCCCATACACACGATAGTTTCTGGAATTGGACAATGTGAAAAGGTCAAGAAATCTTGACAATTCTTTTTATCAAGAAGGATTTTACTGAGTTTCCAAAGAGACTAATTTCAGGGTTATTGTTGCTATCTACTTTCTGTTATATGTGGGCCTAAAGTTGGTGTGAGTAGCAAGTTCCTCAAAATCAGAAAGTACGGCAATCCATCATCTATCTATCTATCTATCTATCTATCTATCTATCTATCTATCTATCTATCTATCTAATCTTTTATTTATCATCTATTTCTATCATCTATTATCTATTTCTATCTAATCTTTTATCTGTCTGTCTATCTATCCATCTATCTAATCTTTTATTTATCATCTATTTTTATCATCTATTTCTATCTAATCTTTTATCTATCTATCTGTCTGTCTGTCTGTCTGTCTGTCTGTCTGTCTGTCTGTCTGTCTGTCTATCTATCTATCTATCTATTTAATCTTTTATCATCTATCTATCTATCTATCTATCTATCTATCTATCACATCCCCATGTATGCTGGCTGGGGAATTCTGGGAGCTGAAGTCCATAAGTCTTAAAGTTTCCAAGGTTGGACACCCCTGCTTCGGACGATCTGTCCTTGGTGTAGGCAGCTTTTCATGGCTTGGGTATTGATATGGAAGTTAGGGAGACCAATATCCCAAAAGACCTTTTACTTCATCTCAGCTCACTGCCAAATCAGCTCTGCAAAAAGCCAGCAAGCCTTTTCCATCTGCTTAGCCCAGCTTCTCCTTTGCAAACTCCAGATTGCCACCGGACAGCGTGGAAAGATTATTGTGCTTAACCCGGGCTTAACTTAAAGGGGGAGAAAGAGAAGATGTGGTAGACAGACAGGTGCAAAGGGGATATGCAAAGCCTGGGTATGAGTCCAAATCTGTAATTTGATTGTATTTAATGTAGCTACTGTAACCTTTATCCATATTTTTGCTCACTGAACACGTTCAAAGATTTGGTGGGGAAGAGACAGCTTTAAATAAACCCGAATACAATGCAGGGGTTTTTTTTTGTTTTTGTTTTGGTCTTTCTAGAATTTCTGTACACGTCTTTTTCCAAAGGTGAATTTTTTTGTTTGTTGCCCATTTCCCACTGCAGTACATCTAGGCAGGATGAGACATTATTAAAGCACACAAGTGAGACGGGGAGAAAAGAGAGAGAGAGAGAGATTGAAGGGCAAAATTGGCATTAGAAGAATTCTGCTCTTTACAAAATAGGATCAAAATAAGCAAGCTTTTTCCACCCAGCTGAGCCAAATATTACTTAGATGCCCATCAGAGGAGCAGGGTGTCTTGAGTGAAACATATCCAATTTGCAAGATTCCCTTCGTTTTTCCTTCGCTGGGGAAGTTCCCCTCTCACAAACTGAAGCTCAGGCATGCAAAAAGGAAATTGCTCTAATGGAGCTTACAAACCTCCCTACAATCTGTCTAGGACCAGAAGCAGCTCAAACCTAAAATGTTTGTTCTATGCCCCCAACCTCCCAAAATGAAGTTAGATAGACATCAAATTCTACAACTCGCTAGGGGCAATTAGCTGAGAACAACTGGGAGCAGGGATTGTAAAGGCAGGTTATAAGTAATATTTTTACACCCCTCCTATGGAAGCACAAATGTGAGGGTGCACAGATGGAATTACTGAAGCCTACAATGGTGTGCGGAAGAGATTATGGCATTCACTTTTAGTTCTTTTCCACATGTTTTTTTTGTTAGGTTCTCTATTCGGCACCGTGAACTTAAGGAAGGTGGGATGAGATTAGAAGTTGCCCATTGCCCATTATATTCATCCCTCTGTTAGCTATTTGCAAACTGGTGGAGAGCAGTTTCATTATCTGCATTCTGGAAAGTTAGGGTTCCTTGCTTTGAAAGGGGAGGGACAGCCTCAACTGCCTGTATTGTATGTAATTTTAATTAAATATATATATATATATTTATATATATATATATGGAAAACCCCATTTCTGCCCTCTCTGGATTCTGTCATACTACGAAGGGGAAGGGGAATGAGCAAAGGGGTTTTATGGCTCTCACTTCCTTCATTAAAACTTCAAAGGGACTGAATGTGGATCTCATCAAGAGAACTGACCATAACAATATGGCCCATCAGCTTTCATCTACTACTTTCTGAAGTCTCCCTTCTGCCGGTCGAGAGGAAAAGGGGGTGGAAATGTGATGCCTGGGATTGTCGCTGGAAGTACAGCGGGGTGGGGGCTGCTTGGGCACACTTAAAACCTTGAATGGTAGGGGTTAGCCCCTCAGATCCTGTCTAGAACGCCTGCAATCATTTTCTCTTAATAAAGATACCTGTTGGAAGAGATATTCCAAGAGTTCTGTTTTCTTAAGATGTAAAGTGGGGTGGGTCCTTACACAAGGTAGATATTTCAACTCGGAAACTTTTTTCTGCAGCTGCCTCAACTCAAAATTTCAACTCTTATTAAATTCACATATCGTGGATGTGCTATTGATTTCAAGCGGTTTCCTGACACCAAGAGAAAACTTAAAATTTAAGCCTACAGAAAGTCCACGACTTACTACCAGTTGCGTAGCAGCTGTTCGAAGTACTGACGGATATCCCCAGGGTTATTTACAATCCGGTTTTTGAAGTTCCAACCGCTACCCCCGCCACCATCCTTGTGGTTTTGTGATCAAATTTTGGGGTACTTGGCAGCCAGCTCATTTTGGCAGTGTCCCACGGTCATGTGACTGTGCTTTAGCATGTTTTAGCCAGAAAAAAAATATTTACTTCCGATTTCCAATAAAAAGGTACACTGGATCCAATGGATGTGTTTAATGACTGCAGTGTTCGCTTAACAGCTGAGGCAACAGTCATTAAAACTCGAGTGTGGTCACGTGGATGACCTGCTTAATTCTGGGCTGAGTTATGTTTACTAAGTCAAGGACTACCTATAAACTTAAGACCAACAAAAGTCTTGCAACTGCTAAGACAAAATGATAAATATTAACTTTAGCCACACGTAATGTGACCCACTTTCCGTTATGGCACAATCACACTAAGGTGATGGTCTAATTGTGGCGTTATATTGTTCCACGTAAGCATGTTTTAAGCTTTATTGCTCCTGGAGAGACACTACCTCTAGTAATTATACATGTAATTAGTATTCCTATTGTACAGGGGAAAAAACACTTCAGGACTTCAGTTTTAAAGCCTTTAATAATTTTTGAAACTCTTAACTAGATGGGGTTAGAAACCTTTCTGATTACAGGATTGCTTTTTGAAATTTTTTATTCATTTATTTGTAGCTTAATCACTCTGCATAGTGGAGCGCATGAAGAAGTTTTAGACTAAGCCTTTGTTACGGCAATAAAGGTCATACTTTACGCAAAGAAAGAGATTGCACTTACCAATCTCTTCCAGACTGCAACAAAACCAAATTTGGATCAAACATTCCCATCACCAGATACTTTTGGCTCATTTAAGGTCTCTAGCAGAAATGAAAAACATTCTTATTTTAAGAAAAGGGCAAGGATTTCAGATCAGCAGCGGCCATATTATAAAGACGTAGTGTACATAAGAGGTCATTAAGCAAATGCACTGAAGATGCTCATGGTGTGATTTGATGGAAGCCAAATCAAAAGGCTCAGTGGGACCACTTACGCTGAGGCTGTTACACAACACAATTATTTTTGAAACCAGATATTTTTAGCCCAAAACAAGAGTACATAAATTTAGAACTAGTTTTCCGAGAAGAATGGAAAATTATGTTTATTATCTTCAGGAAGACTATTTTGATGCTGGTGTGCGGCAGGTGATGGAGAAAATAAAGATATTCAAAGAGTTTTATTCTGACACTGTTTATTCAGTTTTTAACCAGACATTACTTGTAATCTCTGAGAGGAGGGGGAAAGGCACTTAGGAAGTAATTATGCCATTTTAGTAATCAGCTGAGATGCCCAGCCAGCTAAATATTATAAATTATCATTAATACCAACTGATAAATATAAGCTTTGCACATTGTAGTCCTTCAGTTATTCAATTTCATATAATCTATCTATGAACAAGAAGATAGGGCTGCCAATTGTCCCATTCTAGTTCTGGAACTTCATACTGGGTTTTCTTTTCTGGTTTTGATTTTTCCTTCTGTGGCCAAATATCAAGATTTTCATGCGCTGACAAAACTACCAGCTTTTTCAAGACCCCACCCTGAGTTGAGCATCAAAACTCATTTATTAATTCCCCTTTAATGCTTCTACTCGGTTATGCTTTTGGTTCCCAACAGGTAGGAACATGCAATTTTAATTAGGATATTAATTAAATGTTTCTTTGCTGATGAATGTTACAATGTCTCCTAGTTTAACTTCATAAATCCAATATGCAATTATTCCTGAAAAGAACTAGAGAGACCCCACCAGAATTTAAGGAAATAACTCAGGAACACCCTAAATTTCCTAAGTTAAAACATACACATTAAGGGGAGATATAACAAACTCTCCTCATTTTAAGCCTAATCTCAGCAAACCGCTTGGTCATCTGTAATCCATAGCAGTGATAGAGCCAAGAGAATTGGCTAAAAATGTTAAGGCACAAAACTGTTGAATAATTGTACCACAGGCAAGGGTTCTGTTTGTATGGTAAACCTTAGGTTTTAATGGCCTGTTTCTTGTTTCCTTAAATTGATACATTTTTAAATATTGTTTCCAAAAACTCTGCAACAAACCACATAGGTCTGAATTGTTTTCATTTGTAAACCATTTTTAGCAGCAAATGCTTCCTTCCATGCGGACGTTGCCTCTGTGTTGGAGCCAGACAACACAACATTTCAATGCTTTGTCCAACCAAAGCAGTCAATCATGGTGTCATTTTGTGCAGTGCTCAAGCAGGTGACCTTACCCAAGAATTTAGCACAGCAGAGAAAGGGTGGATAAAAGCAGTTTTTGAATAAGTGTAAAAACATGCTGTTTTGTTTCCCCAGTTGGATGAAAATGTCTTCCTTGCGTGTCCCTTTTTTAGTAACTCTGATATTGATCCCTCTAAGGTCCAAGGGCATTCGGTGGTTCAATAGTGCTGTCAAAGATGCAGATTAAACAAGACTATTGATCTACTGAGAACAAGGGATAACACACTCTTCACAGAAACCACCAACAAGTTGCCACCACTTCTCTGAGGTGAGGTCAACAAGCTTGAGATTCAGCGTGCTAGAAGCACCACAAGAAACCACGTGGTCTTCTTCTCTGGTGACATAAGGCAGTGAGAACTCAAGACAACCAACTGCAGATCCTGAGGAGATCCAGAACAGAGCATACTGGTTCATCAGCAATCCACTTCTTTCTAAGCAGGACCAAGTCAAGATTCCCGTTTAGCCAGAACCGGTATTTGCTCGCTCAAAGTTTGCTGTTCTGCTGAAACTGGGACACCAAGGAGAGAACCTGCTCAGAAGCTTTGATCTGCTTAGTGCCACGATAGGTGGCGCTGTTGGCCATCGTGTCCTCCAAGAAGTAGCGATAGTTGACCATCAGGCCACAGGAGGCCGTCATGCCACGGGGACTGGTGTCTGCCATCCAGTTCAGGCGCCATAACACCGCACCGTTCTGAAGGTGGAAGTTCGCCACTGGGTTGAGCGCGTAGCCGCGGTGCTTCTCTCCGTAGAGATACCAGGCGCAAAGCCTCATAAGGGGCTGCTCTAAGACCCGAACCAGCTTTTCTGATTTCACCCACCCGTTGTTCGCGAAAAGGCGCTTCAGTTTTTCAGCAGCGGGGTCTCCCGTGATCTCAGAAATTTCTCGCAACTCGGGATCTGTGAAAGGCTTTCCCCAGCCCAGTTCATTGGATTGGGAGCACAGCAGCCCAATGAGCCACTTGGTGAATCCCGGAATGGGAGACAAGGTGGAGAAGACTTGGATCTGAGGAAATTCAACCTGAGGATTTTCAAGGTGTTCAAAACACACACACACAAAAAAAAAAAAAACCAAGAGATTTGGGATATGGCTGAATGAGGATAAAATAATCACAACAACAATACCAAACATTTAAAGCAGCAAGCACAAACAGGTTTGAGATGAGGCTATTTTCATCAGCAGATTATTGTTGCATGCATTTCATAACTTCATTTCAGAACCTGGGGAGATACACCTACTGCAGAAGTAAAACATTTCAGCTTAGGAAAATTCTTCATTTCTGGCCAATAAAATACCATCTGCCCAGATACTATACTTGCAATGTGAGAAGCAATAAAACTACCTACAAAGCATCTCTAAAGCTTTGATTAACCATTTTTTCACTGGTACTAGATGTACTTTCAAGGATTTTTAATTTTTGTTGGGCCCTGGAAAACCTGTAGAGACACAGATTTGTTCAGCAGATAAAATCCTCCCCCACCCATTTCTAGCACTTCAATTTTAACAACTGAGCAGCTGAACAGCTGTAATACTCAGTTATCTTTCCAGAAACAGATGTTGTCTTTATTTGGCCCTTTTTTTCTTAAAATTTAGGAAATAAATTTGCAACCTTAACATGGATCTTATATTTGAGGAACCCAAGGCAATTTGGCCTCCAGTGTTAATTACAGTGATCATCTAATAGTAAGAAATGCATTTCCTTGTTCCACTTGAGTCTTTTCTCAAACCTTTTCCAATCAGAAAGCTTTAAAAAATAATGTATAGGCATCTTTAAAATGTGAGGGGTTCAACTTCTAAATTGCATTTTTTTTGCCATCTAAAAAAAGGACATTTTACATAAAAAAAAGGCAGACACCAGTAGATTGGCCTGGATGACTCAAGGACACTGTGCCAAAATCCCTATTCTTCACAAGTCCATAAGCTGCTGGAAAAAATTTTTAGTACTGCATAAAATCAACACGTTGGCCACATATTATCCTAAGCTATTATGTGGTTTGTTTGTTTTTAGCTTCTAAAATATGTGAATTCACTCATTACAGTTTAGTTTTCTGTGTGAACCAATCCATTATAGCTTGTTTAACAAATGGTGTTTAAAAAAAAACCCTGGCTTTGTGTGTATGTGAACTTAAGCTTACCTGTTATGTACAATGTGGGTGGCAAATGATGGGGCATTTGTGTTATTCGTGAAACACAGAGACCAAATATACTAGCATCTTTAAAAGGGTAGACAAAACATTGTCTTGATTAGCAATAAGCTCATCAGCAGCCCCAGAACAAATCAGATTTACTGCTGATCTTAAGAGGTGCTTTTGCGACACAGGTAGTCCTCGACTTATGATCACAATCAAGCCCAAACATTTCTGTCGCTGAGAATTTGTTACATGAGTTTTATCCCGTTTTACGACCTTTCTCGCCACAGCTGTAAAGTGAATCACTGCAGTTTTTAACCCAGTAACATGGCTGTTATGCGAATCTGGCTTCCCCATTGACTCTTGCTTGTCAAAAGGTCGCAAAAGGGGGTCAACGTGACTCTTGGACACTGCAACCATCATAAATACGAGTCAGTTGCCAATTGAATTTTGATCACGTGACCGTGGGGATGCTTCAACGGTTGTAAGTGTGAGAAATGATCCTAAGTCACTTTCTTCAGTGCCGTTGTAACTTCAAACAGTCACTAAATGCACTGTTGTAAGTTGAGGACTGCCTGTATAATGGTGCTCATTGGAGACCCAGACAGAAATAAAAACTGTATTAAAGGAGATATTATTGCCACGGCCAAATCTATTCTTTCAGCAATCTGACTGGTATCAATATCCTGTTAAAGACACAGTATTCACAAGTATTCTGATTCCCGTTTTAGGTTTTCCTCATTCGGTTTCCGAAGGTCAAACTACAGCTCAAACCTAAAAGAGTTAAGATCTGAATCGCTGCAGTTCAAAAGCCCAGAGCCTGTCTCGTTGCAGTCTGATCTATCCGTGACAGCAATAATATAACATGTTCTTTTTCTGGGGAAATTAAAAGTTACAGAAGCTTGAAATTAAGTGATTTGGAATTAATCAAATAGATGAGGGAAAACAAAGCAAATAATGATATATCTTATTTTCCCCACATTGTTTATTCCCCAAAGGATATTTGAGATTCAACCGTGAGAAATGTATTACAATACATTAATATCTAAGGGAATGAACCCCAGCAAATGGAGCAGTACCAAGTAATTTAGTTTGGTATTTAAATGAGTAGGCTGCACTTTTAATAAAGCAAATGCTAAAGCGCCTGCCTCGAAACTAAAGTTTAACAAAATGTGTTCTCCCTTTGGACCCATGTTAAGTAAACAACCCACAATCTTCCACAACCATTTGCGAGTGGTGTCATTCAAGCCCTAATAAGACGGTTCAAAAGTCACCCCCAAAAGATTTTCACATGCAATGATCACATGTTAAGATTTTTGGACAGGAACTTCCTGTGCTGTGAGATGGTATTCCTAACCCCTCCCCAAAGCTGTGTACATTGTGTATACAAGTCTCTAATGTTACCCAATTCCTTTTGGTTAAGGAGTGGGATAATATTAACAAATTACCTCAGACTAGAAGAACTCCAAGGTCCCTTCTAACTCTGTTATTCTGTTATTCCACAGGACTGGAAGATTGAGACCTAAGTTCTACCCTCCCACTGAGCTAGAGGACTCAATTGTCTGACTTGGTTTAAGGCAGACCTGGGCATTTTACTAGGCCACATCTGACCCTTTGGCTATCCCGGTTCGGCCCACATGAGATCACTGGAAATTAAAAAATGTAAATAGGTGTACGTCATGCACACAATACAACTGCATTGCTTTTATTCTGAAGGCAACTTTTTTCTCCCAATTTATGTATATCCGTGCATGCAAGTTTGCCTATATACCTTCACAATAATACGTTGGTCCTATTGGTTCGATCCTCCACAATGGTCCCAGGGGGAAAATTAATTGCCCACTACTGGTTTAAGGAAACTGCATTTTTTTGTGTTGTATTTAAAATGCAAAAGCAAAGGGAGGGAGGGAGGGGGGAGGAGGAAGGAAGGAAGGAAGGAAGGAAGGAAGGAAGGAAGGAAGGAAGGAAGGAAGGAAGGAAGGAAGGAAGGGGAATAAATTAAATTAAATTCCAGGGCAACATCCTTTTTTGTACCTACTTGCAGTTCTTTGACAACCCGCTTGATGAGGTACGTCCCAAGCTCCACGCCCTGCAGGCCCTGCTGGGTCAAACTGATTGAGTAGAAAATTGCAGTGGTAATTCTGTCCAAATCTTCTGCTTCTTGCAAGGGAGGCTCTTTTACTATGGCCTAGAGAAAGATTAAGATAATGAACAACGGCCATCTGGGTTCGAATTCAAGCAGACTCACATTCCACAGCCCAACATTCACAGCAGAGGGAAAGATTTGTTCAAACACTCATCTCGGCTCCGACTGTCAACGGAGCACTTGCTCTCTCTCTCTCTCTCTCTCTCTCTCTCGTGAGTTGCTTTACACCCGAGTAAAGCTAAAGAACGGTACCTGGATAGTGCTGGATATTTCGTCCGTAAGTGCAACGTGCAAAATGACCAGGGGTTCTCCAGGTATTGCACAGTGGGCGAAATAGTAACACCTTCTGTAGGACCCAACACGGCGCTTCATATCCATCCAATTTCGAACAGGGTGCACAGCTTCGCTACTAAAAAAATAAAAGAGGATAGAAGGTTGCAGGTTTTGCTGCTCTTTTAAACTAAGGTTATCCATGGACAATCCAAAGAGCAACATAACCTTGATGATGTACATGTGTCAGGTGGCACTAGATGGTTTTAACTTGGGGAAATGCCACACAGCTCAGCAATCTTTGCACTTACTCGCTAATCTTCTGAAGAATCTCGCAGGGAGACTGCCATGTAACCCGTTCCAAGTTTAAGAATCCAGTGGAAAACCATTCAGACAACATGTTCTTTAGTACTCCATTCATTTCCTACAAACAGAGAAGTTATTAAGGCTTCAGCAGCAGGGGAGGTCTGCTCTTGGGTATCTGAGAGGTCTCCTCACACAACATCAAGCTCAACTCAATCTAAAAGTTGTTGGGGAAGGCTTGCAGAGAATCCAATCTACACCTTTTACTTCATAATAGCACCAGATCTCTAGAATATAAAAGACCTCAGAAGCATTTCTACTGCAGCTGCTAAATTTTAAAAGAATGGCAGAGTTTCATTCTCTAACATTGCCTTGTCATATGCATTAGTTTAAAAATAATTCATGTATATTTTTTTTAAAAAAATTACTAGTGTCTATGCACAGATGTGGGAGACACAAATATAAGATCTAATCTGAACAGCCTAAGCCAACTGATGAACAAAGAATAATTAAGAGTCCTTGTTGCTAAGATTTTACAAGTTACACTTCCTTATTCCATGACCATATTGCTAGCAGAGATGTTATAGTTATTCATTCCTGAAACCATCAGAGGCTGAACTGTTTGCAAATTGGTTGGAAGTGGAATGGAATAAACAGTTTTTGCATTCATCTTCCATTCATCTCAGTTTAAGCAAGCAAACATAAAATGACTTGCTGTTATTGTTTTAGAAAACAGCAACTTCACATTAGATTGACAAATGTCCCATTGAAGAAAAGTAACTCAAGTCAACCTCCCCTTTTAAGAGGTTTACTGGAAATAAAAAGTGTATTAACATTTTCATGGACTGTGATCTCAGAACAATCTGAGTGAAGCAGAAATATCTGTGGCAATACTTTTACTAAACCAAACAGAAGCGTTAAACAAAATATACTAGACAGCTTTCTTCACCAAAAGATTTATCTCAAAAAATTCAAAATAAAGGGTTTTATATCATAAAAGCATGCTACCGTGTCCTCTAACTTGCTATACTATAGTATTAGATTTGTACACTGCCTCCAACTATTTATGGTTGATCATAAACTAGAAAGGAACGTAACTAGGTTATGTTCTAACCTTCTGGGTTAGAAGAGACAGTTTAAAGGTGGCTTAAAGGCTGAGAGCAAAATAGAGGCATTTAAACTATGGTGCTGGAGAAGACTCCTGCGAGTCCCCTGGACTGCAAGGCGATCAAACCAGTCAGTTCTAGAGGACATCAACCCTGACTACTCTTTAGAACGCCAGATCCTGAAGTTGAAACTCAAGTACTTTGGCCACCTAATGAGAAGGAAGGACTCACTGGAGAAGGGCCTAATGCTGGGAAAGATGGAGGGCAATAGAAGAAGGGGACGACAGAGAATGAGATGGCTGGAGGGAGTCACTGAAGCAGTAGGCATGAGCTTAAATGGACTCCAGAAGATGGTAGAGAACAGGAAGGCCTGGAGGAACGTTGTCCATGGGATCGTGATGGGTCGGACACGACTTCGCAACTAACATACATTGTCTATCTCTGAAGCCTGCCTTTCTCAGAAAATTTGCAATTCTTGTAGATTTTCACCTCTCTTGACACGGGGGAAGGAGAGTTCCTTATGTCTTTCTTGGTGAATTCTCTCGCTGAAGTGTTCCCTAGAACCGAGGTCCCCAACCTTGGCCATTTTATGACTTGTGGACTTCCAACTCCCAGAATTCCTCAGCCAGCATGGTAGCTGAGGAATTCTGGAAGTTGAAGTCCACAAGTCATAAAGTGGCCAAGGTTGGGGACCCCTGCCCTAGAATTTCCAAAATCTTGCCTGACTCACAAAGCCCTAGCTGCTTGGTTAAATGTGAGGACCCGAGACCAGCATATTCCTGTGCTGTCCACGTTTTATGACTACTTTAACCACATAGGCACTTAAGAGCTTTACAGGCAATGAGATTTTTAAAAGGGCTTAGAGGGACATCATGCCTAGAAAGAAAAGCAAGGTCTCCTTGACACATTAAAAATAGATTTTCCTCCAGGATGCCCAGATACACTTTCTGTCTACTTTTTTAAAAAATTCTTTTTTAGTAGATATTCCATCGCTGAACTCCGCCGGTGGACATGCCTAAACAGAAACACCTGGACCTAGGCCACAAGTATCTATCATCCGCCACAAATTCAGCAGGAAGACATTTACTGTTTCTTAGCAACTAGTCGCGAAGGAGCAAAGTCATTTTCCTGCACCGCTGCTCTTGATCCCACTGGCTATTTAACCTGAAAATGCTAACCTTCCACGCTGACACCCTCCTACTTGAGGGATGTGCTGGCTCCCAGAGTATGAACCTGCTACGCTGGGAGCTAAAAACAAACAAACTAGCTTTGATGACCTTAACCTCTTCATCTTGCAAAGAGGAAAGCTGCAAATCATATACGGTTTAGCCATTTCTCAACACTTCTAATCCCCTGATGACCAAACCAATCTTGTTTATGACCGCAACATACGAATACTTTGGCTGCTGTTCAAATGGCACTGAAAAAAAAAAGGGACTTGCAAGTGGTCTTCGCACTTACGACCGCTGCAGCATCCCCACGGGCGTAGGATCAAAATTTGGGCCCTTGGGAAGAGGCATGTAGTTGCAACCTCTGAGGGTCACGTGGTCACCGTTTGCAACCTTTCAAGTCAGCTTCTGACTAGCGAAGTCCAGTTAGGTCCGGGTCACTTAACGACTATGTGAGTCACTGAACAGCTGCAGTGATTTGTTTAACGAGCATGGCAAAAAAAAAAAAAGAGTCACAAAATTGGGTGCAGCGCACTTAATGATCTGCCTTGCTTAGCAATGGAAATTCCGGTCCCATTTGTGGTCGTGATTCAAGGATTACCTGTATTCAGCTACACACACTGCTTAGAAGAGTGGCCATTGTGAACAAGAAAGAAATCATGCAAGGTGTGTGTGTGTGTGTGTGTGTGTGTGTGTGTGAGAGAGAGAGAGAGAGAGAGAGAGAGAGAGAGAGAGAGAGAGAGAGAGAGAGAGAGAGAGAGAG